ATATTAGTCCTGAAGAGTTGCCCTCTTAAAGATGAATGAATATTCATCTTTATCATGTCATAGGACATTTTAAAGTTGTTTTCCATCAGTGTTGTGTGACTTAAATTCTAATACTTTTCGATTTGGGCCCTGTTTTTAAAGTTTGGAGAAAAAAAAAACTTTAGGAATCAATCCAGTTGATTGGCCGTCAGCATTGGCTGCAATGTAATCTCATGGGGCAACTGCGACAGTCCACGGAATGTCCTTAAAAGAATGTTCTATCCTTTTTGGATAGAATATGAATAAAAGCCTCATTTTGTTATCATGGGTCTTTGCTTAGAGTCTGGCATCATTTCACTCAACATCTCACTTTCAAGTCTCTTAAGAATTGGGTTGTTCAAGTACCAGAATTCCCCTTTAAGCTGATCTGCTAATCCGATTGTCCTGCTGTTAACTGCTATCATAAATCAGATGTTTAAATATTGTCCAGCAGAGACAGCTTCGCCTAAACCGTTCCTGAACAAGACTGCTGGCAAATATTTACGGATAGTTCAGGGTTTCCTTAAAAATATACTTGACCCAAACCTTTACTTCCTTCAGATTTATTTTATTGCGGTTCCCTTTTTATTGTCTATGTTTGATGATTTAGCAAGTTTAAATTTCCCATTTATTCATAAATTCAAATATTCTCTATGAACAGTTTTCGGCTTTATTTAATCCCTTAAACCAGATCTCATAGACTGACTGAAAGCCATTCGTATACCTCATAGTGCTAATACCATATTGTCAGGGTGGATGTCTCTCAACAAAAATCCTATATGCATTAACTTATAGTTTCATAACTTTCATAATGTTTGTTGCACAGTTTATCTGGTTTCTGCACTTTATTTACTTTGCTTTTCTGAGGTTTTTCACCAGTTTATAAATGAAGATAAAATACCAGGAAATATGTTAACATACAAATATGAATCAGCTTTTGTGTGTGTGTGTGTGTGTGTGTGTGTGTGTGTTAACCAGGTTTCAGTGACTAATGCTGCTAAGTATTGCATTTTAATCCTGTTCTGGGAGCAGCCAAGAGGAAAAGCCACCAGTGATTGACAACCAGTAAATCTATCACATGGATTTGCTGGTTTCACACACACACATAGGCTTTCACACGTATGCAGGGGCACATACACAATGCAGAGCACAATGGGGGGACAGGAAGGACTGAGAGAGAAAAAAGGCAGGATCAGACAAAGAGAGAAATTCAGTCACTGCTGCAGTATGACTGGATGACTCAACTGTGTGTGTGTGTGTGTGTGTGTGTGTGTGTGTGTGTGTGTGTGTGTTATGTCTGATTTCATCCTTGATAGCTGTGACAATATGACAAGGCTGAGGGAAACATGCACTTGAATGTTAAATATGTTTCTTTACTCCTACTCACATAAAGACAGAAAAGAATGCAGGGTCAAGTAAAACACCTGCACCGCACTTCCACATCAATGCCATAAGAATTACAATATAAAACATGGAATAAGAGTTAGATGTTGTGGTTTTACTGTGTCACAACAAGATTTGACCACTGTGGGCTTCATGTTAACCCTCACGTAAGATGTTTGACCAAAAGATTTCGGTTCTGTTCCTTTTTACAGAGGCATCATCATGTCCTGTGTTGTGTATGGAGAAAACTGTCTCATGTTGAATACAGTTTATAGTAAACTATAGTAAACTGAAGCATCATATATACAGGTTGTTACTGCCTTTCTGAACCTGCCTGCGGTCCTGTGATCTTTGTAGTAATCTTTTTCAACACATATTCAGGTGTTATAAATATGGAGATGACACCTATACATATATATTTATACACAGAAATAAACTGGCTCGGTGTTGTGCTTGCAATTGAACCTGCTCAGTTTGATAATCACCTTTAAGTTCAAGTACAGAGGTAACACATCAAACATACTCTATGAAACATTAAAAAATATAGTTAGATATATATAAATACAACTCTTCGTGACCTCATTTACAACAAATTAGTAAAGTATACATGCGTCTGCACCATATTATATTCAGTGTTGTCTTCTGACTTTCTACTCATGGAGCTCAGAAATTCCCTAAAAAGAATAACTAAATAATAAGTTCAGTTTCCTTAAGATAGGGATTAATGAAAACCTCTGAGACTGACATATTTGGACAAATAACCACAAACTAAATTATCTCAATACAGCCTTTGTGTATTTACTCTCTAACAGCAGCAAGCGCCGAGAGTGAGAGCCTTGTAATAGTAACACAGCATCCCTGGACTTGTCGCAGTGTGACACCAGTGTGCAGAGTGTGAGTGCAGGTACCTGCAGAAACACAAGCCCCCTCTCCTGCTGCCTGATGCAGTTTGTAGCAGCAATAAACACAGAAGACACAGCAGTGAAATATAAAATAAAGTCTCTGTGCATTTGGAATTACATGTGCACATGCTTTTCTTTAAATGTGAAAATATCAGTTGTTTTTCTGTGATTTATCCATGTGAAACACGTTTACTTTCTGAAACGTATTTAAATAAAGGAATCAACTAAAATATTGTTAGTCCATATGGTGCACAGAGATACTGTCAGAGAGATGTCAGCTCACTTTGGTTGAACATCACATGTCTCAGTTCCAACATCCACAGGAAATGTGAATCATATGCAGCTTAGGAAGCTTGCTAGTTTGTGGGTCTTTATTCTTTTCTTTAAATAATCGCACTGCAACCTATGTTTTTGTTGTTGTGACTACATTCCACTAATAGTGTATGTTATTGTATAGAGAAGGAGGAAGAGTAGACATTTGCACATTAATGAGAATGGCTTCAGATTGTCTACGACAGAGCTGGACAGTGACATAATTGCACTCTGTGGACATTGTGGGCTACAGCCTTTATTCTGTTATCAGCATGACTGCAACTTATAGTGACAACGAGTTCTCATTAAAGAACAAAATGGGAATAAAACAAATAAAGCAATTCACAAAAGCTTTAACCGGACAAATTCTCAGACTCAAATTCAAAATCAGGATCACAGGAATTTATGTTATATGATTACATAATAATAAGTCTACATTGTATCTTTTTGTCTGAGTTTATCATATTACCAGTTTGATTTGTTGCAGCTATATTGTTTTCCAAAACAATGATTTTAAAGACATAGAATGTACATTAAAATCACAAACAACTAGACATCTTATATTTTTTGTTTGTTGGTATACAGTAAATTTGTTTCTTAACAATATTCAAACCCTGAGAAATCCCCTTTAAGGTAATGGATCATTACATTGTAATCACCTTTTAATTGCATCATATCTACTTTAGCAGTGGCTTTGCGTGTGTGTGTGAGTGAATGTGTGCATACAGATTAAAAACTGACACCCCATTCCTGTGAGTATAAAGGTGAGTGAAGAAGTGAAAGATTGACTAGAGACTGTCACAAGAGCAAGAAAGGGAAATAGAAACGAGAGTGTTGGATAGGGTAGTGAAAGTGAGTGTGTGAGTGCAGAGATATGCTGTGAGTGTGTGGGCGCAGAGCAAGTGCAAGAAATACAGAGAGGGAGTGTGGTTTGGGGAGAAATCGCAAAGGGAAAGATGGCAGAGAGGGAGAAGGTAGACATGAAGTGGAGAAAAAGAAGGAAGGAGGGGGGCAAGATGAGGGGAAATGGCTCGAACATGTTGGTGTTTAATGGAGGGTGAAGAAGAATGAAAGGAAGAGCGACCATGGAGGAATAGAGCACTGGAGGCTATGAGTACCCTTTATTCACACACACACGCACATACACACACAGGAATTCACACCTACAGGAGTAAGAACTGTAAAAATGCAACACCACACCCTGACTGAGGAGTGCTGTGAAAACCAATGGGTGTTTTCTCAGATATAAATTTAATCAGGTATTTTATTAGAAAAGAGCTGCTGTTTAGAATTACATCCTTAAAAAACACAAGCGTATAGTGTGTGTTACCAAGGGAGAATTACTTGGATTTAAATCAAACACACAGATCAATAATACATGTAAGTAAAAAATATATTTTAGCAGGATAGCAAGATAGTTCCAGATATCTGATTTTTTTTTTTAATGATGCATGTTTTTCAGTATGGTCTCAGTATGATAAAGAATTTGTATGACTTAATTTTTTTGGGAGGTTGTGATTTTTTAAAAACTAAATAAAGCTTCTGGCAATTAACAAATTATGAGGGAGTCAATTTCTTATGATCCTTTTATTCACTTGCCAAAATCTGGCCCATGTGGTTACTATCTATGATTTGTACCACATTCAAAATACATCTGTAAGCTATTAAAAACATAAAATAAATAAATAAGTGTAGCTAGAACATTTCACTGGGACCAACGTGTGGACTTTCAGCTCATTTCAGTCACCGGCAGCAGCAAACAGAGATGAGAAGTCAGTTTACTGGAGGATCAGAATGTTTAAGGAGTGAATCACACATACAAGAAGCTGAGAACACACGTTTAACATCCTTATCAACTGTAAAAAAAAAAGTGCCATCACACTTATGTACATTGTAGACTTAGAAAAGCTGCATTCATTTTTCTGTACCTCACAATACAAGATCACATCCATTCCTTCCAAGATAAAGGGAAAATGATCTGTGGAAGTGAGTTGTTAGTAGATTATCATTTGCTATTTGCTGCTGAGGAATGGACACCTGAGACTGATAGGGATGTCGTCAGTTTTACGGGTTTTGAGTTGGTTAAAATCGATTGAGCTGCCACAGCCAATGTCCATGTGTCAATGATTTTATGAAAGGTAAACTGGTCAAAAGTACTAATAAAACATGACATGACTTTACATGCATCCGCTCTCACCAAGGTGTGCCACTCAACTAAAGTAAGGAAAATACAAAAAGCACATTCTGATGATGTCACCACTTGGTGACACAGTATGTTTTAAAAGCCCATTTCACAGTTTCCACATTTTCACCAGTCACGGGAACGTGCATTCTGTCCATTGATCGTATAACTCGCCTCTAACCAACTTGTTTTTTTTCTACTAGGTGTTGCTCTCTGGACTCATCGGAGTGGTGTCATGGAAGAGGCCGCTCTCTCTTGTGGTGAGTTTCCTCTGAACACCCACACTCACTCTTATCTGATAACCCTGAACTAAGCAGTGAACAACAGTGTTTTATTGAGATGATCAGAGTGATGGAGATGTGGTGACGCACAAGACACTACTTACTCAGTCCTGTTTATGACCATATGAGCATTAGTATATAGACACTACATAAAATATCAGTTATGACATCATTTATTACCTGAGACTCCCAAGCTTTTGAAAACCATAATTAGATGATAACAAAATCTAATCCACATGTCATCTCAGCCATAGAACCTGTAACTGTGTGTTAACCTCAGAGTTTGTTCAGGTTGAGTTAAAATCCCTGAATCACAGCTCCAGTTTACTGTGTTTACTCGGCCGCAGAGCTGGTTCAAGTCTTTTCACTTCTCAGTTTACATGTATCTGTCTGCACTGATGAAAAATCATTGAACTGTTGCTCAGTTCAAACCCAAATAGCATCATTCTGGATTGAAAGCTTTGTGCCTCCGTGTGTGCAGCACTTTCTGAACTCAGATCACACTATGTTGGACCTTGGCCCAAACTATTAAAAGTGAAAGTTTAAACTTGAAGGTAAATGTAGGAATGTGAAGGAATTTGCTTGTAAATGGTTTGTGATGAAACTTGGGACTTGTGTTAACATTGTCAGGGCGTCTCATTCACGGAGGGTCCTTTGTTTGGTTTTGGGGATCATGCAACAAGAATAAAGGTACTTCAGCGACATTGATCAACACTGATTAATGTGATTTATTCATCACATTTACAATGTTTACAGTTTATGTAAGAAGTGCTTGAATAAGTAGAAATTTACAGAAAAGGAAACAAAAACAAGTGATCAGCCTGGGTTATCTTGAGGAATGTAGTACATCTTGTTAAGTTACACTTAAGTATAACTTTCAGAAATAATAAAATACTTAAATAAATGTTTTTGCACATCAGATCTCTCTCTGTCCATGTATCTCCCAGTGCTTCTGTCCTTTTAAAGCAGAGATGATGATTGGGGGTTCAGCATGAACTACAAGCCCCTGCCCAATTCTCTTTCATGCTCTCTTAATGCCATAAATAATCTCATCTCCCTCCTGCAGCCTCACCACATCATGTGTCCCCCTCCCCTCTCACTGCATATTACTTGTCTCGCTCCCTTTAGTTTTATCACCTTGCTTCCCTGCCTCACATATATAGTATCTTCTCCCTCCTCCTCTTGTGTAATGTTAGACCAGAGAAAGAGGTTTGAATCATTTTGGCTCTTTGGGATCAGAGGAAATATCCTATCGCCAAGGTGTGAGCAGTAATTGGTCACACGTTGTGCACTGTAAAAGATTTAAATCCTCTTACCTTTCATTCCTTAAAGAGCTTGACTTATTAACTGGAATAGTCCGTGCCAGCAGAGACACAGAGGTGTCAGTCCACAGTCGCTGCTCTCTGTGTTCAGCGTGGTCTAAAAGCTAATATCTGGGGTGCTTTTTGTGTCTGTTATTGTAGCATCTAATCTTCAGTCCTGACAGGACGGCTTTTCCATTTCTGGCCTAGACCCAGTGCTGACTGGCAGGTGACTAATACACCGGCTGGCAATACTGCACCAACCCATCTGCCAACTGTGGGTGGCCATGCTCTGAATCGTGATCCATAATAAGTGGAGATTCTCCAAACCGTTTAAGTATGTGCATTGAAGACTAGGTTTATAGCTGGTGTAATTGAAATGGCTTTGTGATCTGGGCAGGTAAGGATTTTACTCGAAGAAACAATAAGGGATTGGTTGCTTACTCAATTACTCGGGCAACAGAGGATTAATCTACTTTGATAACTTATTATTTTATTACTTTTTTAAGAACATTATTATGTAAAAGTACCAAATAGTTAGTTTCCCAGTTCATATGAATATCTTCTTGTTGGGTTGGTCAAACAAGCAAATTTAAACATAATTCAAAGGAATAGTTTCTTTTAGATTAGATGATAATCTCTCTCTCGTGTCTCTTTGTTTAAAACTGTAGCAATAGCAATCAGCTGGTTAACCAAATTAGCTTAGATGAGAAACTGGGGAAACAACTAATCTGGGTCTGTCTGTTACAAAATCCGCCTTCAAACACACAAATATTTAGTTTATACAAAAGCTGAACAGAGTCTCATCAGTCTCCTCGCACCCCCAAGTCCGAGGCCATGGTTCTCTGGCAGAAAATGGTTGACTGCTCTCTCCAGGTTGGGGGTGAGTTGAGATAAAGTATCTCAGGGTCTTGTTCATGAGTGAGGGGAAGGACAGGCATTTCGCTATCATTTTTGTACCAGACAGTTGTGGTGAAGCAGGAGCTGAGACATAAGACAAAGCTTTTGATTATCTTTGGCTCTGAGTGGTGAACGAAAGAAGGAGATAGTCGATACAAGCCGCTGAAACACTTTTTCTCAGTAGAGTCTTAGGGTGAAGAGTTTTGACATCTAGAGGCAGCTCGGAGTAAAGCTGCTCTTCCTTCATGCTGATAGTGCAAAGCTCAGGATGCCTCCTGGGTACCTTCCATTGGAGGTTCTCTGGGTATCCCCAACCTAGAATATGCTGGAGGGATTTACATATCCCATCTGGCTTGGGTATGCCTCGGGATCCCCCCCGGGAGGAGATGGAAAACTGGGTAGGGAGATGTCTGGAACACCCTGCATTGCCTGCTGCCTCGACGATCCAACCTTGGATTAGTGAAAGAAGATGGATGGATGGATAGATGGATGGATAAGCTAACTGCTATCTAGCTCCTGATTGCTGTTTTCAGGCATTATAGTGGCATCAATCTTCTAATTCTGTGCAAGAAATGAATATTCATTTTCTTTTTAGACTAAACCATAAACCGCTCCTTCTGCAAATATAAAAACAAATGGTATCATTTTATTTCAATGATGCTTCCAAACTTTGACACATTGTAATGTGTTTTTGAATCTGCCTATATTTTGCCATTAATGTATTTATCCTGAGGTATTAGAGAGACAGATGGATTATTAATAGAAGAGGTGAGACAGATAAGAAGGCGTGTAAAACATCTCTGGCTCCGACATGTTGCAGTCATGTCCGCTCCTGATGCCGAGTGCAATGTTTGGATGGCTGGAGACAGGATGGGTTTGTAAGCCTGAGTGAAATAACAGGTGCACTATTGTGGAGTGAGAGACGATGTGTTGAATATGAAAGTCTGTTGACCCCAAACTTTCCCTGTACTTAACTCCCCATGAAAGATTTATCGGTACTGTATATTGTGCTCTGTGGAATAGAAACCGCACAGTGTTCATGTTTTGATGCAAAATCCTGCTCTTCCTCCTTATCTTAAACTGCTAATAAACACTGCAGTTTTCTATCCAGTCTAGTCTGCTGCATTAATGCCAGAGAAGATTTACTCTGTATCACTCAGCGCCAGGAGAAAGACAAGACTACCTGCAGTCTGCTGTTTGTGACTGTGATGGATTATGTGTTTCGAGAGAGAAAGACGGACTGAGACAGAGTTGGAGGGTAGAGAGTCCTTGTTTGCCCTGCGGGGAAACAACACAGTTAGTCTGCAGTAAATAGTTTCTGTCTCAGGAATCAACTGTTTTCACTTTGTTGTTCTCACTAGTTTCTTTGAAAGTGCAGGCACATATGGTACAAACAACACATACCTCTTTATCTGTGTTTATGTGCATTTAATGGTCAGTTATTTCAATTTGATGAATACATTTCCAATTCAGTATTTTCTTGTACGAGAACATCAGCTCCATGACTACTACTGCTACTACTACTACTAGTACTACTACTACTACTACTAATGTACAATGCATTCTTTCTCCTTCTGAGAATTAAATGGAAAAATTAAGTAGTTGTCTTTCAGGCACCAACTGTATTATATCATTACTTAGAACCATCTGTGAAGAATCAGATTGCCTTACCTTACTAGGTTGTATCAACATCGACGTCATCACACCACAGACGCCACTCTTGTCATATTTTGCCTGCGGTTTATGACATTATCAGATTGTACTTATATACAATTAGATTTAGCAATTGTCGTGATTCTGTGCCTGTCTGGAGCCTGTGTTGTGTTGTGGATCTTTTGTTGGACTCCTTGTGTTTATGGACCTTGGCCTCGTTGTTTTCCTTGTGTTATATTTAGAGAAAATAGAAAAAGATGGATGTGTTAACACATTTTAGAATTAATGCAGGATTGTGGTCAGGACTGTCTGGCAGTGGAGAAATATTAGTTATGCATGAGGTGTGTCTGGGTGTCTCGTCCCAACTGGTTGAACTTAATTTGACAATTGTGTGTGTGGCTGTTTATTTTATGAGAGTGTGTGTGATTTACAGCACAGCTTCAGAGACACGCTGATGTCTGAAGGTTTCCTGGGGATAAATCCAGAGGAAATTTGTTTAGCCCCACACACACACACACACACACACACACACACACACACACACACAC